GGAGGAGCAGGAGGAGGAGCATGAGGAGCAGGAGGAGCAGGAGGAGGAGGATGAAGAGGAGGAGGAGGAGGAGGCTCTCCCTCTGCCGTCCCACGGCCTCCTCTCTTGGCTTACCGGCTTACCGGCTTACCGTGGGTTCGCGTTCCTGGGGGGGGGGGGGCACAGGACAAGGCGGCGCGGAGAGGGAAGGGGATGGGACGCGAAGAAGAGACAACCCCACAAACAGAAATTGTTTGCGCTCCGCGCGGATTTCTTGCATCTGCGCTGGCCCCCCCCCTCCCCCCCCCTGGCGGCGCCTCCAGCGCCGCCCCTGGCGCGCTCCGCGCGCCAGGGAGGGGGGTCCAGCGCAGATCCAAGAAATCCGCGCGGAGCGCCAAAAGATTATGTTTATAGCGGTTCATAGAGGATGTTTTATGTGCCAGAAGATAATTTTTTATATTGATAGAGGATGCGACGCGAATCGGTCCTGTGATAAGGGCCGCAGGTTCAGTCGGCTCCGCAAGGACGGGAGGCGCGGGGGGGGGTCGTGTCAGGGCTCGCTCCGTAGTCAGAGAGGCACTCGAGCCGAGACTGGGCTGGACGTGAGTGGGGTGAGGGAGGTTCGGGGTACGAAATCTGCTGCATGCAGCTGGTTTCGGCCCCGCCGCCGGGCCCATTCCTCGATACATGGGCGCCTGCCGGCACTGGGGGGCGCTGGGAAAATCAGCTACGTGAGCTGATACTCTACCCTAGCCTTTGCTATCCCCCCCTTTCGTTCCCCCCGAGAGGGGCAGGAGAGGAAGGCGGGAGGGAACGGGGGGATGCGGAGGATGCGGGAAATGTGACGGATCGAGGAGGAGGGATACATGACTCATATCGAGGAGGAGGGATACACGATTCATATCACGGCATGTTTTCCCGAAGCAGCCAGCCTTTGACTCAAGAGGCCGACGCATTTCCGCGGACCCCCCGAGGAATGGAAAAGTCAACGGAAGTCGCCATGTTGAGTCATGGGCCGCATCGGTTGCGTTGGGACTGGGTCCGGGCACAATGTGTGTTGAGATGACTGTTGACGTGGTGCCTCTTGGAGGCTTCGTGTGGCCATTCTGGTGGTGTGTGTGGGGTCCCCTTGGGACAGTGGTCTGCGCTGGCAAACGTGTTTCCCCAAACGATCCTGCGCTGGGTCTTTCTCTCTGGAGTAAGGCACGACTTCCTTCTCCCCTCCTTCCGCCTCGCCTCCCTCTCGCCTTTTACTTGTTGCCCACCTCTTACGGCTTGCCTGCCTCTTGGACATCCTCCTGTTTTGCCACCGCGAGGGGCTGCGAACTGTACTGTCGCCGTTTGTTGTGGTTTCCTTGGGAAGTCCACAGCGCAGTGCGGTGCCGCCTAGCGGCGAGCGGTGGGCGGGAAGTGAGAAGGAGAGGGCTTCTCAGAAGGTTCGAGGGTCTCCCGGCCTTCTGAGAAGTCCTTGAAGTTTCCCCGACGACACAGAACAAATTTTCAGAAGGCCGGAGGGCTTCTGACAAATCCCGCCGCCTTCTATAACGCCTTCTCCTTCTCGTTCCCCCCCCTCGCTCGCCGCCGAACCTTGGCCAGAACTGTGAAACCGTCGCCACCTTCGTGTGGTGCAAATTGCCACACCGTCGCCACGCTCGTGGGATCTCCTTGGGGTACTGCGCCGTGCTGTACGACCCAGAAGAGTACGAGACCTTGTTGTTATCATTCAGCCCGAGAGATTGGGCACGGTTCGGTTTAATTTGTATTCAATGTTTATTTTCCGTGCGTGGTGCCAGTGCAGTCTAACCGAATAGTAAGGATTTAGCCGAATAGTAATGATGGGTTGTTTTCCCAAGGGTACCCTGGTATCCTCGCCGCTTCGGCCCATCCTTAGCGACTTGTGCTGACAAGCCTCGTTCGAAAAAGTTTACATGAGCCTCCAAGGCCCTTGCAGCCTTACCACCCATCCTTCTGATACGGGTTGACTGTACCGACTGCGCAGTTGTCGGGGTTCTCGCGCGCTCCTCGGAAGTCGGCGGAGGGCGATCTCATCGGGCATCACAGTCAGAGGAGTATGGTCCTCGTCTTCCCCCGTTGGTGCCAGCCACGCATATTTGGATGATCTGGTAAATGTACCCTTTTGAAAATCCGTCGCTCTGCTGTATTATTTTGCCATTCCTCATGTCTGCGCAGCGAAATGCCCAAAGCGCGGGCCGTCATACGTGCAACTGCAGATGAGAGATTGCCTCACTCAGATATGTCCCGTGAGAGGCCTAACGATCAATCTAAATGCAGATTTCACGATCACTTGTCCATGTTCCCGCCCAAAGAAGATGGCCCCTTGGTATGACCACTTGTTTCAGATCGATCGGGGACGTGGCAAGGGCAGGTTTGTTTGAAAGTGCACCTCTCTCCAAGTTTCAGTTTGGAGCATTTCTTGCGTTGCCGCCATAATGAATCTTGGACTTTTTCGGAGGCCTTCTGAAGCAGGCCTGGCTGCTTGGTGCCCTCCTGCGCCATCTTT